AAAATCTTTCTATACTGACAATTTTTTTCAAAAATTTAATATAAAATATCAGTATAACTCACTATATTGATATTTTGGATTTTTTTACTAATGTCTCAAAAATGTCGATATAACCAGAGTAATGTATATAACACCCTATATATTTTATTATTATGTATTAATCAACATTTTTAAAATAATAATAACAATAAAAATCATAATTACTTTTGTTATTTTTTAAGATGATGATAAAATTTTATCTTCTTTTTTGTTTTCTTCATTTTTCATTTCATTTGCTAAACAAATATTATCAAATAATACTACTGAAATAATTTGTAATACTAATATCAAAATTAATAATTTATATAAATTCATCTTGTTTGATAAAATTAATTAAAAAAAATTCTTGATATTTATATTTTATCTTTAATAGCTTATATTAAAAAATTAGATCTTACATCATATGAAATCAATAGCAAATAGACAAAAGGTCATAGATCAAAATCAAATAATTAAATAAGACATGTCACTATAGATAGAATACAATTCTTCAAAATAAAAACTCAAATCAAAGATATAAATTTTATTATTGATTCAGAAATTTATAATAGATACAAAAATAATATATGGATAGCCTGTAAACATACATATATCATTTTCAGAAATAAATAAATTAAATATTAATCTAATTAAATGAATTATTTAATAGGTAATAATAATTACTATTTACAAACTACTATAAAAAATAATAACAATTACAAACAACAAATATCATATAATAAACTATTAGAAATGAATTATTATAATAAGTTTGAAACTTTATTATTAAAAAAAAAAAACTTGATTTTTCAAAAAAGAAATAATTTTTTATATATTTTTCTAATAAATAAAAAAAAATATTTAAATATTTTATAAGAAAAAAGATTCTTTCAAACAAAAAAAAATATTTTTTATCATAAATATTAATTTTTTTTTATTAAATTATTTTTAAACATTCTTTTCTATTATTTTGTTTTTATTTTTTTTTTCTTCATATATTTTTTTACTATTCTTTTTGAAAAAAAAAATTATTTTTCCTTTTTTTTTAATTTCTTTCAAAAATTTTTTATTGATTTTATTTTTTTTCTATTAATTTCTCTTTTTTTAATATAAAATTTTATTTTTTTTTCTTATTTTTCTTTTATTTCATAAACAAGTCTTAATTTATTTCTTGTTTTTATTAGTATTTTCTATATTTTTTGAAAAATATTAAAATTTATTTTTTTTTTCTTAGGATTTTAATAATGATTTATCGTAAAAATATTTTTTTCTATTTTTTTTTCTTTGAAATTTAAATTTTCATTTTTGAAATTTTCTCTTTCCTTTCAAAAATACTAATATTTTACTATTAAAATTTATTTTATATTATTTTTTTTTCTTTCTTTTGTAAATTTTTTTATTTTATTTAAATACGTAAATTTATCATAAAATCTTAAAATATTCATTTTCTATAAAATATTTTTTTTATTTCAAAAACTATTACATATAATTCTATAGTGATTTTTAATTTTTTATCATATTTTTTGATAAAATTTAATTCATTTTACGTAAAATAAATAGTAAAATCTTATTTTTATTTTTTAAAAAAAATATTTTCAATATAAAAGATATAAATTTATATTTAATAAACAAAAAAAACATGTCTGAAGATATTGAAAATATCAAAAAAAAATCAAAATAATAGAAAAAAACATTAATGATATCAAAATTTTTCTTGATCAAAATTAAAAACTAAAAAAAAAAGAAAATACAATTAAAATACATATGAATCTGTTAGAAAAAAAAATAAATAAAATAAATTTGTTAGTTATTGTATAAATCGAAATATTTCTATGAATGAAATTAGAAAATACTATAATAAAAATTTAAATATCAATGAATTAATCTCTTCATTATCTTTGAAAATATAAATAGAATAAATATCTTTCTCATAATCAGTTATGAATTCTGAAAATATGATAAGGAAGAATACGAAAATCGTATGTGAATTTTATTAAATAATATATTCAGATTATTTAGAATAACAATCATAGTTTTATTAGTTTATTTATCTTTTATAACACTTGTAGAATTTAAAAAACATTCTGATCTTTTTGAAGATTTCTTTATTCCAATATCTAAATCATACTATAAATTAATAGAAATTTTAGACAGTGGATTTTTAAATTTTTTATTAAATATTAGAAATTGATTAATTAAACATAATGAATCGAAATATAATTCCTACTTCTTTTGCTGATTATTACAGCAGCCAAAATTCAAATTCTGTACCAAAAACTAATACTATTAAGAAAAAGAATGAAACAAATTTTAAATCCAATAAACAACCAAAAAAAAAAAACTCTTGATGACAAAGAACAAAAAAATGAATTGTTTAAATTATTAAGAAAAATAAATCTTGATATTACAAAAACAAAAAAAGAAATTAATATAGTAAATGGACAAATTGCAAGATTAAGAATAAATGATGAAAGGGTTGAATTGAATAAATATATTAATATTCTAGAAAAAAAAAATACTAAATTAACTAAAGATAGAGATAATACGATCAAAAAATTAATCAAATTAAAAGAAACTTTAGAATCTCTATTAAAAAGAAAATATATTAATAAGGATACTATCAAAGAAATAGAAAAAATATCTTCTAAATCAACAACTGATTTTACTAATAATAAAGGAAAAACTATAAAAGATAAAAGAAATTCTACCAAAGACAGAAAACAAAAACAACTTAGCTTTTTTCAAAAACAACTTAAAACTTGTTTTTCATCATGAGTAGACATCATAAATTTAATTTAGATTATTCTTCTTATTCTCTATATCCTAAAACAAAAAAAAACAAAAAATAATAATAGCTCTGATAATTTTTTTTTAACTTTTTTTAATAAAAATTCTGATGATTCAGTAATATATCAAAATTTAAAAAATGCTAGTGATAGATCAACCCAAGTATATATTCTTGATCTACTATATAATATCTTATATGATATTGAAGAAAATATCATTGAAGATGGAAACCAAAACTTCCTGAAAAAATATTATTAGATACTATTGCTTCTAAACTTTACTCTGATATATCATTCATAAATGATTATAGTTCTTTTAGTACTGAAGTAATATAAATATCTTGTAAAAATTCGATAGTTCTGAAGTAAAATTCAGTAAAACTGTTTACAAAAATAAAAATATCATTACAAATTCTTTAATCGCATTGAATAGATTTGGTCAAAAAATATCTGATAATCTTCCAAAAGTATTTAAATTAAGATTATATAGTTTTTTTACTCAAATAGACATGAGCATAATTTTAAATACTAATAAGGAAAGTATATCAATTGACTCTAATAATAATAGAAACATATATAAACTACCTGCTAATTTTATAATAACTTTGTGTTTCTTAAATAGAAAAAAATAAGAAGATATTAACATGAAAGAAACTAAAAAAAATTTTGCTTTCATAAAAGATAATCTTGAGCTCAGTGATATCTTTAAAAGGGGTACAACTAGATTTGATAATACTGATGATAATATGAGATCACAAATAAATTAAGATAATTGGAATTTGGATTCATATTATTTTACAGACACTCAACTCACAGACATGCCACTTCATAGACAATCAATTCACTAACAAGCTTATTTCATAGACAACTAATTCCTAGACAAGCTTATTTCATAGACAACTTATTTAATAGATAGCTTACTTCATAGACAAGTTTATTTCTATAAACTTCTCTAATCCTAACTTTAACTCTAACTCTAATCTAATAAATAATGTTTGTAAAATGAGATGTCTATGAAATAAATTGTCTATAAAATAAACTTGTCTAGGAATTAGTTGTCTATGAAATAAGCTTGTCAGTAAATTGATTGTCTGTAAGGTAGCATATCTGTGAGTTGAGTGTCTGTGAAATAAGTGCTACCCTTAGAATTTATGCTTGCTCATAATATACCTGTTAACGTAAAAGAATTATCAAAAAATATTAAACCTGATAAACTATCGTAGTATGATTTCAGCATAAAACTTTATCATAGTCATGTAAATACAAAACAAAAATCTGAATTATAAGGAATGCTATATAGTTTAAAAACTATAGATAAGGAAAAAAATTTAATAATTTATTGTTGTGATAAAGAACCTGTAACTAGTTCTAAAAGAGAACAGAGTTATATAGTTGGATACCAATCAAATGTTATCTGGGTTTTAACTATAATATTTTTTTTTTTTTTTTTTGTTATTAAGGCCACTTCCTTGGCCGATTAGATTTTATTAGTTTGTTATTACGGAACTAT